GTTTTAATCAACACGGTCTAGGCGCCTGACAGAACAATGTGTGCAGTACGTACCATGAACTAGCGTGAGGCGGCAAAAGTCGCCAGCTTACTACATCCGTGCAAACCCTGTCAAGCCGCTAAGCTGCGCGTTGACAGCCGCGGCAGCCGAAAACCATCGCGTGGTAGCCAGTGCTTCGCGCCCGTACTAAGGAGCGGCGATTAGACAACAGCTTGCAGTGCGATTTCCTCAGGACGTGAGATAGAGATGGCTTATCAATCTGCCGTCAGCCATCAGGATTGCGGCGAGGCATGACTCGTGCCGACTGACGAAGCACATGACGTGATGTCACCGACAAGACATCTGTCACCAATGCGGTCTTATCATTGTTCGTCATGTGCTGGGAGCAGGCGATTGTTAGGTGCCCGAAAATGTGAACTCCTAACAGGGACGCACAGATATTTTCACGGATAATTAATGCAAATCATTTGAATAAATGACCAGACCAGCTCACCGCTAATTGGCTGGGTGTCATGCATACGATATAGACAATGCAAACTGGATGCGATCAGCGATATAACATGAAGCACCACTGTCTTTGGACCGCGTTCTCGGTATGCACACCTCACCGCTGACCTACACAACTAAGCGAGACCGCCGGCTTAAAGCCCAGGATCCCCACGGTATCGAACATGAGCATAAACGACAGTCACGGACACGAGGCATGTTCACCAAACGAATCGAACAAAGACCCCGCACTGTGCCACATGCGGGGAAGAGACCCACCATCGCACCTCCCCGCGGCAGAACGATGGATGACCCAAGCTGCCGCTGGCCCAAGGATGGCGAACCCCGGGGGTTACCGAAATTAGAACCTGCGGAGCGTTTGGGGCGCGTCCACGCGCGACGTCAGCTAACCCGCCGCCGCGTCGATACAGCGCAGGGTCGTATCAGCGCACGGTACGAAGGTCGAGCGCACCCACCACCGGTCGAAGGGTGACGTGCGGCAGGAGTCGGGGTTGAAATCACGGCGGGCCGGACGACGGGAATCTGTGTTGGTGATGTCATCCATGCCGTCATACGCAAAAATAGTCCGCGGCGTTTGGCGTCCGCAGCCAGGATGACGAAGATTCTATGTTCGTCGCGTAGAGTCTTTGTCAGACGCGAGGAGCATTTTATGTTATTCGGTTCAAGCTAGGTATAATGCCGCATCAATATCATTTCTGACCAGGTTCGTTAACGCACTTCCGACAGACGAGGGATGAAGAGAAGGCATGACACACATTTTAAACAAAACGGATTGCAGGTCACATGATGTTAGGAAACCCGGAAGTGCCACTTTTACGGCTTCGGGGGGCCTCAGCCCCCCCCCCCCCGTAACGCTCCCCTGTGCTAAGGAATGCATATGAGCGGAGGGAACACGGAACCAAAAAAATACAGAACAATTATGTTAACCATTGACATACAAGACAACATTTACCTAAACTTATTACTACGCATTATGCTAATAATGCCTAATAATTTCGTGCCAAATATCATCCCCGAGATACGTTGCGCTTTTGTCACCGCAACCCTGCATATGTTGAGTCAGTCTGCACATGTTTGACAAGTGTTTCAAAGGATAATGCTTATATTGGGATAAGGAACAACTGACTGCAATATGCGGCAGCTTTTGAAAGTACAGGGTGACCCAGATAAAAGTAAACGCATGTTTTACCCAACAGTGGCAAGTACATTTGTCGCCTAGCCGTGGCTTGTACTGGTTATACAACACGATCAGCGACAGCGATGGTCATCATGGTTTCTTATTAGATCTAACAAGATCTAACACGTTTTCTGTAAATTACACTCCATTCTAAGTTTTTCACCAAAAGCCAACTTACATTAACTTGAAATGGGTAGCCAGTCCTCCAGAGAAAAACAATTCTGAATGCACGATATATAAGTTAAGTTTTTAACTTAACATCGAATGGGAAAATTCAAGTGGCCGAAATCCGGGGAGAAATCAGATTTTGGGGGTAGGCTAGGTCCACCCTTCGGCCGATCCCCGCGACAGGTGCACGGTGGATACTGCTCCGATCAGAGCGCGGCCGAAACCCACAGCCTGAAAAACGAGCCCCTGACATCTGACCGCGCCTGTGTCAGCCGCTGGCTGCTGGCAGGTTGCCAAATGCCGACGACCGAAGATATTGGGATCATGTTCTCGGCGAAGTTGCTGCACTCATCGTTCAGCACGTCGGTGACTGCAAAAGTACGGCTCACTTCGACGAGAGAGCAGCCTTGCTGATCAGGCATGCAGAGGCCGCGGGCTACACCGTTTCTGTCCGGTACTCCGACGCACGGGAGAAATTCTGCATCCTCGCGTGGTGCGTGCCATTACCCCGAAGTACGACAGCCCCGTAGCCCTCTTTAATGCAGGCAAAAACAGCGATCACGTTTTATCCGTCTCACTTCATGAGGTTCAGTCATAGCATTGCACTTCATTGCCGGGGGCAGAGGTATTAATTAGCAAGGACAGAATTGTTACGTGCACTGGCAAGGATTATTACACGCGCCGCAAGGACAGCCCGACCGATTCGTGAACACTCAGCCCCAACGCCTGAGCCCAAGCGTGTTAGGCCGGATGGCAGGGCGCTTCCCGCAGGCGTCGAGGCCGCTACAGAACGCCGGCTCAGCCCTGGGCTTCCCGACAAAGAAGATTCACATCCGTTCTAGTTAGCAAAAACTAACCAGTCAACACCACCTAGGTTAAAACAACAAAAAAATTCATAAACGATATAATCAATCCACCAAAGCATAAACAGCCACAACAATCTGCAGGATTCAAGTGTCTCCAAGTCAATAACACTGTGCACTGTTCAACATGGTACAAATCCCATGCCAAAGCGATTGATGTCTGTGCAGCATCGCCTAGCACACCAGAATCGCAGCAGATCATCGAATGCAAAGAACAGTACCACTGACGTCACAACGGCGCTTAGTGCCGGGTGATGCGCGTAAAACCGCTACGGGGGACGGCAATCACCGACGCTCTCAAATCGCTCACTTCAAAATGCTGCGGCACACAATTCATTTCAAAATCCTGCTTCACAATATGGCGTACCTTACCACGGAAGCAAAAGAGCCAAATGTCATACCCTACCACGAAAGCGAACGTTTTTCCCACCCGCGCCCGAGGGCTGGCGTTCAGCGTGTCTGTAGCATCCATGATTCCGCCGTCCGCCAGGGCTAGGTGGTGCTGGCGTCGCGCTCAGCCCCGCCCCAACCTCGGGGACGGCGCGTCACTGGCCGTTTACCCGCCGGCACTGCACCGCCGCGTCCTGACAAGGGCCCAACACGCCTCTGCTCGTTCTCAAACCTCCAGCGCGACGCCCGTCCCATCCGCCGTGAACGCACTGTCTCTTTGGCATCGACGCCGCAGCAACGGCTGAGCTTCACGCGACGACAACAGCGCCCGGTCGCCCTGGCGCCCGCCACCACCAGGCCTCATCAGCCATCGCCACACGAGGCGGCCGCGAGGCGCGCTGCCGTCGCTGCCAGATCAGCGCGCTGGAGGGCGCCTCCGTCGTCCGGCCGCAGCCGCTGCCTCGTGGGGAGGGTCGGACCGACTCACGGGCAGGAGACGCCGATTGGTGTCTGGCGCATCGCCGAGCCAGACGGCAGCGGGCGACGCCTGGCGGGAGGAGAAGGAATTACACGCAATCATGACGTCGGCGGGCGATTTCTCCCAGAAGCACAGAAGGGAACGAAAATGACGTCTCATTCGGGGTTTTCGCAGGGAATGACAATGGTAGGCTATGCATGGCGCCACTGGCACACATCAGTACCACACGGGCATGGGATGATCAGCGAACCTATCACCACCTACCTGGTAACAATGTCACATGCCTTACAATCAGTGCCTCGAACTGGGCATCCCACGCCCCCCCCCCCCTCCCAGCGCCGTGCGAGCATCCTCTGCGCTCAGTGCTTCTTCCACCGCTGCAGCTCTTCGGCAGCGCTCTCTGTCCCACTCCATGGCTGTCAGGCTCTTGTCGGCGAAAGTATCACTGTAACACTGTAACA